GTCATCACTCCGAATTTCAGCTTCATAATCTAACCCATTCAAAAAATAAGTGTGGGACATATTTGAAAAGCACTGAGTAACGCTTCTCTCTCTCTCTCCTCTGTGTGTGACTTGGGCGATTTTATTCATTCCAATATCTCTTCGCAGCTCTTATCTCCATGAGACAAAGCTAGAGATAGGCATGAGGTCATGGGACAACGCCTGTGTAGAGGACATTTTTGAAAAGCACTGTATAACGCTTTTCTCTCTCTCTCTCTCTCCTGCTCATATTGGCTTGTGGCGATTTTATTGATTTCAATAACTCTTCGCAGCTCTTATCTCCATGAGATGAAGCTAGAGATAGGCATGAGTTCATGGGACAACGCCTGTGTGGAGAACATTTTGAAAAGCACTGTATAACGTTTCCTTCTGTTTCTCTGTTTGTATTGACTTGTGGCGCTTATATCATTTCAATAACTCTTCACATCTTTCATCTCCATGAGATTAAGCTAGAGATAGGCATGAGGTCATGGAACAACGCCTAAGTAGAGGACGTTTTTGAAAAGCACTGTATAATGTTTCTCTCTCTCTTTCTGTTCATATTACCTTGTGGCGGTTTCATACATTTTAATAACTCTTCACAGCTCTTATCTCCATGAGATGAAGCTAGAGATAGTCATGAGGTCATGGGACAACGCCTGTAGGATATACACCTATCTACATGCTCTATACGATGAACAGACGACCCATGCCCGCTAATGATGCTACGTTTATAATACCAATAAAAATTTTATAGCTACAAGTAGATGTACGAGGTATAATACTGACTTCTCTGTTGCTAATTAATTTCTACATTATTAAAAAATGATCAAGAGCGAAAGTAAAATAAATGCGTGCAATTTCATTCTTACTCGTACAACTATGATATAATTTCCCAGTAATTTGTTATAATTAAGCCTTACATATATGGATTAGCTACAATTAGGGACATTAGCAGTTGAAACTTCTGCTTGTTATATGGTTTCCATCTGGATAGCAGAATAATATTTCAAGATAACTTCTTACTTTATGGCGCATGCCGATTAGACGGATTTAAAATAATTCATGAACTACTGAAAGGATGCCTACTTCACCAATTCATCGCCTGAGTATAAAAATCATTTGGTAGTCTGGTGATTCGCCTCCACGGGGAAAACAAATTTTGTGGAGATTTTGGTCCGGAAGGTGAATTGGTTGAAGGCCGTTCAAATTCCTTGAACAGTATTATTTCAAAATAGTCATAAAGTATGAAGCGTGATGACCTTTATGATTGAAACGTTTACTAAAGTATAGAGGATCTGTCAATACATTTGTTTTTATTTGTTATTGTAAAATATTAAAAAAATTAAAAAATAGGAATGTTGTTGCACAGATTTTTGATATTCTCAACCACTGCCGTGTAAAATCTTAGCGTTTTTGTTTACTCCTCTTATTGCTTATCAAAATTTGGCACGTTTGTGTTATTGTATGGCTTTCAGTACGAGTCTTTGGTTCGATCAGTTGTATCAGTCTTTTAATAGTGCGTTCCTCCAACCTGAATACACCGTTCCTGTGGGGACATGTAAAGTCTTTGGTTTACGAAACTCCAGTAGAAACAGAGCAAGACTTAACTGGACGAATTACAGCAGCATTTGAAATCATTCAAAACCAGTATCAAATTTTTAGTAAAGTCCGCCGAAATCATGTGCGACGTTTAAATCGGTGTATTCAGGTTGGAGGAAGATATTTTGAACAATTGTTGTGATGATATCATGTACAAAAGGTAAAAATTAGATGCATTAAATCCTATTTAGGCAATTCATCGTCTTTTTAAATTTTAACGCGTCTTAGGGCCGTAGTGCCGTAGTGCACTTTTCCCTATACTGAAATGTTTTCTACTGTTATACTGAATAACCCCTAGAAGTTTGATCCCTTAGTTCTGAAACACCCTGTACATATAGGTAATTTTTGGTATACCAACTTCTTTTGGCGAGTTCTACAAGCAAATAAAAAAATGACTCAACTTTGAAAATACCCTGTATAGATAGGGATTGCAGTGTTAAATCAACCTATGGCGGAGCACCGTGTTGTAGAAAAAAATTGTGTAAGGATAAATGGAAAATCTTTCCATCTAGAGGTAGCAGAACCTTTGCAGGGCAACTTTTAAACGTCAAATTTGGAAAAACCTCTTTTTCGCGTACACTCAAAAATATAAAGTATTGATTGCAGTGGTTTACTGAAGAGGATAGAATGACTTTTAAAGCAACATACGTCCAATTTGCTGCAGCGCCTACACTGTAAGATAGCTCGTGAAAGATGGCCATTAACGATTAAAAATAAAATTAGAGGCAATTGTAATTCTTTAGAAAATGATGAGCTTTTTAATGCCTTTTTTTCTTGATGTTAATCATCACAAAGGTTTGGCTATTAATTTCATGCTCTACAACTTTCCTTACAAGCAGTTTTTCCAATACTTTTTTGAATATGTGTCTCCATATACAGGTATCACGTATTTTTAGACTCAAAATAAATCGATTGTACATGATTTATCTAACGGGATATTCATCGCACTGTTGGTGTTATGGTTTGGGGTACCATTGCTAACAGCAGCAGGTCACGATTATCCACGAAATTATAACCACATCTGCTTCCCTTTTGGAAAAACTGCAAGATCCACTTTTTGGAGGTTGCAAAATACCGCACCCTCAACAAACATTGGAGGCTCTACGAAACCAAATTCAGATAGCCTGGAATACAATACACCCAGAAGACATAAATCACCTAATCCAGTTAATGCCGCAACGACTTAACGACTGTATAGGGAACCTTTAGCGTTAAGGTGGGATATCTCAGCTATTTGCAAAATTTGGAGTTAACATTTTTAAACACTTTCTATACTAAGTGACATATAAATCCGAACACCCAGTTTAAATGGTTTTATTTTAATAAAAGTTGGTGAATGTATTTATCTTACTGTATATAACAAGTGAAAAAACTTTCAGCCTTATCAATTGGACATTCCGGTTTTTATACTGCTTTTTTTTAATTCACTAACGCTCTAAAAATGAATATTTCAGCCGCAGTAAAGAATCAACGTTGGCGGATTTTGGTTCTTGACATCCTTTACGATCGGTTACGATGCCTAGAGTACGGAGACCTGTACGATTTCATCAACTTAGTGAGTTTGATAGGGGCCGTATAGTGGGACTTCGGGAAGCTGGACTTTCTTTTCGGGCAATTGCAGTTAGAGTGCAAAGAAGTGTAGACACTGTGGTTAGGTGTTGCCAGGCATGGCTTCGAGAAGGCCGCACGCAAAGAGCAAGGGGCACTGGACGCCGCCGTAGAACAACAGACCGTGAAGATCGCCGCCTAAGATTATTGGCCTTAAGGGACCGTTTCTCCACTACCAGGTCCATTGCAAATGAATGGTTTGCAGAACACGGAAGACCTATTGGCATGCGAAGTGTTTACCGACGAATGAGAAGTTTTGGCTTGTTTTCATGCCGGCCACACTGGGTCCTCCCTTTAACTCGAGAACACCGACGTAATCGCCTTGAGTGGTGCAGACAACGGTCACTCTGGGATCAGAAATGGAACAGTATTGTCTTTAGTGACGAGTCTCGATTTTGTTTAGGCATGCACGATGGTCGTGCCAGGGTTAGAAGGTGACGTGGTGAAAGGGGGAATCCACAGTTATTTCTTGAAAGACATGTTCATCACACTGTTGGAGTTATGGTTTGGGGTGCTATAGCTTATGGTTCCAGGTCACCTTCAATCTTCATCAGAGGTAACATGAACGCGCAGCGTTATATCCACGAAGTTCTAGAACCCCATCTTTTACCCTATCTTGACACCCTGGCAGATCCAACTTCCCAACAAGATAATGCCCGACCACATGTTGCAAGAGTCACAATAGACTTCTTTCAACATAATGATGTCACTTTGTTACCATGGCCACCAAGATCTCCCGACTTATCCCCAATTGAGCACGTGTGGGATATGATGGGTAGGAGATTGCTCAATTTGAAACGTCCTCCTCAGACTCTAGAAGCACTTCGAGAGGAGGTGGTGGTTGCCTGGAATGAGATACCACAGGAGGACATTGACCACCTGATCAGAAGCATGCCTAGGCGCGTTGGAGAATGCGTAGCACATCAGGGTGCATCCACACATTATTAAAGGTCAAAGGGCTTTAAAGCAGTGCAATCATTTTGAAATTTTTAACATTTACTTATTATGCTTCATTAAGTACTTATACAAAATTTTTTTAAAATAAAACCATTTAAACTGGGTGTTCGGATTTATATGTCACTTAGTATATTTACAACACCAAAACATAATCTACCACGTGACAACGGTGCTTTATTGCCAATCATGCATTCCTATCAACGAAAGGAGAAAGAGCTTTTCTCTTTTTGAATTAAATCGACTCAGTTCTGAAACTGATCGTTACTGACGATACGAGCTTTTCAACTCACGACGACGTCCACAGAGAAGAGTTACAGTTAGTAAGATAAGCCAGTTATTTGAATTAGGTTTCCTAGTATTACCGAACGAGTCAGGCAATAACATTGAAGATATCGTCATCAGAATTTGCTGAATACCACTGTTATTTGCATCGAGTATCTCCAGTATTGTGTTTGCAGCTTCTGATGAGTATCGTGTCAACGTTATACGCCGCATATTAATCTTAGTATAGAATAGTTGCACCATGCAATATTAAAATCCAAGAACCATTTCGTCCCGATATGTTTGCAGGGTAAGGAAAGTTACATGAAGATCTGAATCGATCGCTATATAATATAGACGGAACATGCTTTCCATATAGAATTCTAACATTGTGTCGGACCATTCTAATTAGAGGCGTGATATTGATGAGACGTGAGAGGGGGTAAGAAGGCTTGAAAGCAACATCGAGTTGTTATCTACCTTTTGGAAGTTCTTGAACGTCCGCCTGACTGTCTGGCGTTTTCGATTCCCGGTCACTGCTCTTTGAGAAGGTGTGTTCGTCCCACAGATGGCTGTATTCTTTCTGGAAGTCTGAGATCTCCTCCGTGCTCAGCTGAGACACCAACTCTCTGAACTCGGTCTCTTGCTTTGCTTCCACTTCTGGACTGGTTATTTGTTTAGTTTTTGCATCGGCTTTTTCTTTATCAAGTACCTCCGATGCCATGTGTTCGAATTTTCGTTCGACTCGTTTCAGTTTCTTTTCTGTTTTTGTGTCTGTTATCGTTATAGTTTCGGTTTTCGTTTGTATTTGCTCTAACGAATCCAGTGCTGTATCTAAATCACGCAACTTTTGTTCTATCGCGTTTACGTCTGCTTCTGCTTCTTTTTTATGCTCTACTAACTTCTTTTCTTCCTTCTTGATCACGGTTTGCATTTTTTCGATCGGCTCATTCATATCTCTCGTCATATCTGACAACATGGTTTCTATCCTCTGCTCGGTCAAGGTTTCGAGCACGTTCGATCGCGTACTACCTTTATTATCGTCTTCGGATTTGCTGAAGCTGTCATCTTCTTCAGATTCTATATGGAACAACGGTTTCTTTGACGTGACCTCGCTAGTAAGCTTCGTAAGAACCTCTTTGGGCTCCGTTATGATATAAAATTCATCTTCGGCGCTCTCTTGCGTTGTGGTACTTCTCAATTCGACTATTTGAGGTCCTTTAGTTTTCGAAAAGTGAGCCGAATGCGTTCTTCTGGACGACGTGGGCGAGCTGACATAAGAGTGTGCTTTGTCGCTCAACGGAGATACATCTTCTGTGTCTGTTGGTAAGTTAGACAAGTCCATGTTGACTTCTGAAATTTTCCTGGCGCCCGGTACTCTTTGTTGTTCCTTCATCTGACATCCGTAGTCAGATAAAGTTCTGGTCATTTTAGGGTCATCGACTTTGAGTGATTCTGATTCAATGAAATCGATTGTGCGTTGCTTGACGTCGGACATTGTCGCTTCTCTGAACACTGGATGGCCCATCACTTTTTTTTCGGCGTCGTCTGTTTTGATATTTGGAATTTGATCTGTCGTGCCGGATATTCCAGTTTTCGAAGACTCTCCTCTTACTATTTTTACGTCTTCGTCTACGGAGCTATCTTTCTTTCCGCTTAGTTTCTTTCCGATTTTACCCAGAAAACCCTTGCTTTTCTTCTTCGCGTCGTCCACCTCTTTGCGAACTACCGATTCATGTTCACTTGCGATTTCCTTGCTGGTAGATCCTGCATCTTTCTTTATTTGCTCTACAGCTTCATCTACCTTTTGCATAGACTTCTTTATGTCTGCTTCAGCGGCACCTGCTTTGCTCTTTACAGCTTTGCCGGACTCTCTACCTCTATCTTCAATCTCTTTTTTGGTTTCGACCGCAAAATCAGTGATACCTTTAGCAATGTCTACTATGCCTTCCTCTGCTTCTTCAAGAGACTGCGCAGCGCTCTCGTCCATACGTCTAATCTGCTTGTGTGATCTTTCTTCAAATTTTTGAGCTTCTTTACGTTGCCTTTCAAGTTCATCCCTAGAGGCCGTTACGCCTTTCTGAATCTCTGAATCAGCTTTTGACGCTGTTGCTTCTACGGATTTCGCAGTTCCTGAAACGGCTGATTCGATTTTTCCGCCCAATTTACCCAAGAAACCTTTACCTTTCTTCTTGGCTTCATCAACATCTTTTTTCAAGTCTGACTCAAGTTGTTTTTGTTTTTCACTTGCTTTTCTCGCCGCTTCCACCGAGTCTTCTTCGATTTTTTCGACTTTTTCGTCAACTCTATCGATCTCTGTAACAGCCTCTTGTACCTTTGCCCCCGTCTTTGTAACAGGTTCTTCTACAGACTTTGTGGTGGATGATACTGCAGATTCGATTTTCTTGCCTAGTTTACCAAGAAAACCTTTACCTTTCTTCTTGGTTTCCTCCACTTCTTTCTGTACATCTGACTGAACTTCCTTCTGCTTGTGATCTGCTTCTTTCACAACTTTGTCTGATTTATCTATAATTTCATCTGCTTTCTGATGTACTTTGTCAACTGCAGCAGTAATTGTATCTTCGACGTTCTCAGCGATTTGCGTGCCTTTATCATCAGCTTCTGATGTTAACTTTGTTACGCTTTTTCCGGTATCATCTAATGTTCTTCCAATTTCTTTAAACCCACCTTTTACGGATTCTTCTGTACGTTCAATGAACTGTTCACTCGCGTGTGCTCCTTTTTGCACTTGCTTATCAGTATCTTCTGCTGCAGCTTTTACTTTTGCCTCCCCACTTGATACAGCATCTTCTGTAGCTTTGGAGGTTGAGTGAACAGCTGATTCGAATTTTTTACCTAGTTTACCCAGAAAACCTTTGCCTTTCTTTTTGGTTTCCTCCACTTCTCTTTGTACATCAGATTCAAGTTCTTTTTGCTTGAGTTCTGCTTCTTTGATAGCCCTTTTTGATTCTTGTTTGATCTCATCAACTTTTTCATGTGCTTTGTCAACTTTGTCGCCTACTGTTTCACCAATGTACTTGCCTTTATCTTCAATATCTTTTTTAGCTTCTGATGCTGATTTTGCAACGTTATCTGCTGCATCACCTATCTTCTTGCCAATTTCTTCAGCTCCATCCTTTGCTGATTTTTCTGTACGCTCAATAAATTCTCCAGTACTTTGTGCCCCTTTTTGAAGTTGTCTATCACCGTCTTCCACAGCAGCCTTGACTTTCGCTTCCCCGCTTGCTATAGTATCTTCTGCGTCTTTAGAGGTTGACTGAACGGCTGATTCGATTTTTTTACTTAGTTTACCCAAGAAACCTTTTCCTTTCTTTTTAGTCTCTTCAACACCTTTTTGAGCTTCAGAAATCACTTCTTTTTGTCTTTGCTGGACATCCTTGCCAGCTTCTTCGGATTCTGTTTCGATGAAGCGTTTAGTGTCTTCAATTTTATCAACTACCTGCTTTGCTTTAACGTTCGATGAATCAACAGCTTTCAAAAGTTCTTCCTCAGTTTGCTTCGATTTATCTTCAACATCTCTGACTGTTTTTGATGCAAGTTCCTTCATATCTTCAGCAGTACCTGCTTCTGATTCAGCAATACTTTTGACAGTTGAATCTTTGGCGCTATCTAGTACAGCTTTAGTCTCATCTTTCAATTCACGTGCCTTTTGGTCTGTCTTTTGGCTTACATCTTCCACAGATTTTGACGTTGAATGAATTGCAGATTCTAATTTCTTAGTCAGTTTGCCCAAAAAACCTTTGCCTTTCTTCTTGGCTTCCTCGATGTCCTTCTGCGCTTCCGACTGCGCTTCCTTAGTTGCATCTTTAACGTCCGCAACCACTTCTTGGGTGGAACTTTTAATATGATCTACTGTCTTATCTACTTTAGCTGCCGATTTCTCAAGCTCCGCTTCAACAGCTTCAGATGCACTTTTAGCTGCCTTCCCTATATCTTTACCCTTAACTTCAACATACTGCTTCGTCTCTGAGATGGAACTAGAAATATCGCTAGCTTGTTTGATTGTTTCCTTTGATGCCTTTTCGGTATCTTGCTTTACCTTTTCTCCAGCTTTCCTTGCATCGGTTTCCACTTTTTCTTGCAATTTCTTGCCAGCAGCTGTTGCAGCATCTTCTACATTCTGTACTGAAGAAGCAACCGCTGCTTTTGCTTCCGACGCGTCTTCCCGCAAGTCATCTAACCCTTCTCTAGCCTTTCTTCCGATGTTTTCTGCAGTTTTGCCAATATCTTTCCCTACTTTGTCTACATCTTCTTCCAACTTATCTTTTGCACTTTCCACTTTCTTCTCAGTTTCCCTCTTTATCTCTTCTCCAAGCTTCACTGTATCGCTGAACTTTTCATCAATCGCTTTCTTGAAGTCCTCGCTTTGTTTTTCAGCCGCACTGTGAGTTTCGTCTAGTTTGCCTTCAAATGTTTTGATCAAATCTCCCGCAAAGCTTGATGTTTCATCACAAGCCGTGTGCACAGTCGTTTGGATATCGTCCAACGATTTGATAACTTCTCCTGTATCTTTGCGGAGTAATTTCTTTTCCGGGCTAGATTCTCTGGAAGAACTTGCAGATACATCTCCTGCTTTCGTTGTCTCAGATTTGCCAGTTATTTTTTCACCAATTTTGCTGAATATGCCAACCGATTTACTCGTCTTTTTAGAGTCCCCATCAGCTGAGGGTTCATCTAGACTTTTCCCGGATTTCTGCTTCTTCACTTTTTTCTTTGTTGGTTTAGGGCTAGCATCTTTTTTGCTGAAGATGCTAAAGAGACCGGATGATTTAGATTTTCCTACTTCATCATCCAGGTCAGTGATGACTTCAGGTTTGCCGCTCTCGTAGTGCTCTAGTTCGGTAGAAAGAAAGTCATGTGCATCCTTCATCTTTTTCAGTGATTCTTCTGAAATTTTCCTAGGACTTTCGTGAAGTTGATCTCCGTCTTTTACTTTGTAGGTGCCTGGTACACTATGTTCTTCTTCTTGCAGTCGTTTTACCTCTTCCTCTGACATTTTTCTTCCAAATATTTTGAAGGGACTTCCAGATTTTGTGAACATAGGTTCTTCAGACACCTTTTCCTGAGAGGGTTGTTTCTGGGGGCTTTTGCTAACTTTTTCCGCGGGCTCTTGAGTGTCAGCAATGTCTTCACGCGAAGATTTAGAATGGGTTTCTTCCTTGGTGACTGTCTCTTTTCTGATTTCGTCCAGCTTTTTGTTAATTTCTTCTTCCAGTTTTGTAAGATCAGAAAGAACTTCTGGTCCTAACTGTATGGTGCCTGTAATGACTTCGTCGGATACTCTAGTTGTTCGTTCACCATGTGGTATTGCCTCAACTTTAGTAGTGTATGTAATGGTTCGAGTGGGGCCTTCTACAGTATGTTCTTCTTCTTTTGGAGCTTCCATCTTTTTCAAAACCCCCTCAGGAATACCGTCAACTTCCTCGTGGATGAACTTATTAGTTTCAGTTATGTCATGGAGTGTTTTTTCCGAAATATCAATGGGACTCATTTGGATTGGCTCGAAGATTTCGATATCAGTAAGTACCTTATCTGGTACAGGCTTAATGTCATGGTATAGGGCTACCTCGTTTTGCAAGAAATCAGAACTGTCCTTCATGGTCTGCAGCGTTTCTCTCGATAAAGCATCACTAGCATGTTTCGCACTCCTTTCTTGTGGTTTGGTTTTCTTAGAAAACAGACCAAAGAAACCACTACTTGATTCTTTCTCGTGAAAGCGGTCGACTTCTTTCTCTGAGAAATCTTTGCTTTCGGATGCAGCAGATGTCGCTTCTACCTCCTTCATCTTTTTCGATCTCGTTTTCTCTTTGTCTACTGGTTCGTCTTGCGATTTCTTCTTAGAGAATAGCCCGAATAATTTGGTACCCTTAGCCGAGTGATCTTCTGGCTTTACATCTTCTTTCGGTTTGATTATTGGCCTTGCATCTTCGTAATTTGAAACTTCCCCGCGGAGGAAGTCGCTAGAATCTATCATTTGTTTTACGACTGAATCTGACAACGGAGTTTGAACATCTTCTGTTTCGGGTGTCTTCTTTTGGGGTTCTTCGCCAGTAGGACTAGATACTGCGATACTTTCTGTCTTCAGTATTGCTGTTCCTTGCTTTACGCGTATGATCTCTTCTGTTACCCTGTGGATCTCGATTTCTTTCAGAGAGTCTACTTGACTTGGTGTCAAAACCATAAAATCTTCATCGGTTACGTTTCTTTCCCTGTCTTTACCGTCGTCGCTTTTTCCAGAGGACGCTTCAGGGACTAGATGTTCCGTCCTCTTCATGTGACCTGTTTGAGGTTCTTGCACGTCCTCCTTGAAAGCAACTTTCTTTTTATCGTCAGTCTCCTTGTCTGTACCGCCTCCCTTTTTTATCAATCCAGAAAGAACTCCTTTCTCTATATGTTTCTCAGATGTTCCTTCACTTGTAACTGTACGAACATCGTGGAACCTGTGAATCTCATCTTTCAAAAATGTCTCAGTATCCTCTCTTATCTTTGCGTTTTCCTCTGCTTCATCTTTCGATACTGTTGGTTTGTGATCTTTCTTCTTGAAAATGCCGAACAGTCCACCCTTGACCTCATCCTTTTTAGTAGGTTTGGGCGAATCCATTTGACTTACTTTACTATCATCAACCGTTGTCTCCTTTGAATGAACCTTTTTGACTTCGTGAGGCTCTCCAGCTTCAGTTTTTATGATCACATCAGTTTCTTTGTTGTCTGCGGATTTGTCGACAATCTCGATCTGGATATGGCTTGGAATCGCATCCTTTATCACTTGTATGTCTTTAATAACCACAGTTTCTTCTTTATCTGTCTTCTCTTTAGAAATTGGTCTCACGTCATGGTACTTTTCTACCTCACCCTGGATAAATTCATCGGATTTCGCCTTATCTTTCGCAGTCTGCTCGTCCTCCTTGATTTCCCTATCTTCAGATCCCTTCTTTTTGAAAATACTAAAAACTCCAGCTTTGGTATCCTCTTTCTTTCCTTTTTTCGGAGAAGCCTTCTCCTGTTGCTCAGCTGTAACTTTAACCAATTCTTTGACTGGAGATTCTGAAGCCTTTCGCTCTTGACGTTTCTCAACTTCCTTTTCTTTAGCTTCATCGATATGTTTGACTTTAATGTCCCGGTCTTCAGATCCCTTCTTTTTGAAAAATCCAAAAAGCCCGCCTTTCTCTTTATGATCTTCTACTTTTTTAGATGGAGCTTCAGGAGCAACTGGTTTGACATCGTGGTATCGATCAACTTCCTCTTTCAAAAACTTCCCGGTATCTGCCCTTTGTTCCAAAAATGGCCGCTCAGGCCATGATTGTTGTTTCTCGGAGAACTCTTCTGTTTCTGTTATAATTATGGTCTTTTCTAAAACCATTGGTTGTTCCAGTTCGACAGTGATTTTTTCTTCAATTGTCTTCACAACTGGTTTTGCATCATGGTACTTTTCGACTTCATCTTTCAAGAAACTATCTGAATGGGATTTGGCCTTTTCAAATTCTTCGCTAGTTTTTAATTCAAGAGCAATAACATCTGTAGTATCTCTTTCCTGTGAGTCTTTCTTTGTGATCAATCCTTTAGCTTCTCGTTTTTCGGGTTTGGGTGTAGATGTATCTACAGTTGTCTCTGCGGCTTGCTGTATCGTTTCTTTGACAATTGGTCGAGCGTCATGGAATTGATCAATTTCAGTTTTCAAGAATTCATCAGTTTCGGTTCTGGTTTTGACTTCTTTCTCGTGTTCTTGATGATCCGCGTGGTCATCCTTATGGGATTTTTTCTTGAAAATATGCATAATCCCGCCTTTGCCGTCATCTACTTTTTCCTTTATTATAGTTTGAGTTTCATCTTTGACTACTATAGTTTCCCTCATAACCACTGGCTGTTCCACTACTGTTGATATCACTCCCTCAGTGACTTTACATTCGCTTACAGTGTCTTCTTTATGTTCGGAATCCCTTTTCTTGAAAAGACCGAAGAGTCCACCTTTGCTCTCTTTCTTTACTGCATCTTCACTAGGTTCCACAACAGTTGCTTGACCAACTACCACAGATTCTTCTAAAGCCGTGTGCACCTTTTCTTCTACTTGCGGCTTAATGTCATGATACTTGTCAGTTTCGTCTTTTACAAACTTGCTGGTTTCTTCCCTGATCTTAAGAGATTGTTCATCCTTTGCTGGTTCAGTTTGTTTGTCTTCAGGACCTTTCATGCCGAAAATACGGAGAATACCTTTTCCTTCTTTCTTCTTTGACTTTGGTGAGGCCACTTCCTCTCTAAAAACAGCTGTCTCCTGTATCTCTACAGGCTTTTCTATACCCTCTGTGATCTCCTTCACAATTGGCCTTACATCATGGTACTTATCAACTTCCTCTACTAAAAAGGCATCGGTATCAAGCTTAGCTTTGATCAGTTCATGGTCTACCTCTTTTGGCTTCACATCCCTTTCTTCCGATCCTTTCTTCAAGAACATACCGATGATGCCTTTACCCTCCTTCCTCTTCGACTTTGAAGGTGATCCCTCTTTTACAGTTTCTTCCTTAACAACGATTTGTTCTTCCAAAGCAGGCTCTTGAACTATGGGTCTGACATCATGGAATTTATCAATCTCATCCTTCAAAAATGTATCTGTATCTGCTTTAACTTTAGCGACGTCAACTGTTTCTGCTTTGTCTGTTGGTACAGCCTCCTCTTTAACGACGACAGTTTCTTTGATAATGACAACTTTCTCTGCAGGTTTTTCTACTACTTCTGTAACTACATTTTCTTCAATTATCGGCCTAACGTCATGGTATTTGTCAATTTCATCTTTCACAAATGTATCTGTATCTTTTCGGAGCTTGGCAAGTTTTTCGGTTTCTGTTACGTCCACATCAACTTCTTCAGATCCCTTCTTCGCAAACCAGCCGAGAATACCTTTGCCTTCCCTTTTCTTTGGCTGAGGAGGTGTAGTCTCTGCAATGCCTTCTTTCTTCTTTGACTTTGGTGAAGCGACTTCCTCCTTCAGAATAACCGTCTCCTTTACCACTAAAGGCTTTTCTACATCCTCCTCTGTGGACTTTTGTAATACTGGTCTTACATCATGGTACTTATCAATTTCTTCTATTAAAAAGGCATTGGTATCAAGCTTAGCTTTGATCAGTTCATGATCTACCTCTTTTGATTTCACATCCCTTTCTTCTGATCCTTTCTTCAAGAACATGCCGATGATGCCTTTACCCTCCTTCTTCTTCGACTTTGAAGGTGATCCCTCTTTTACAGTTTCTTCCTTAACAACGATTTGCTCTTCTGAAACAGACTCTTGAACTATGAGTCTGACATCATGGAATTTATCAATCTCATCCTTCAAAAATGTATCAGTATCTGCTTTAACTTTAGCGACGTCAACTGTTTCTGCTTTGTCTTTTGCTACAGCCTCCTCTTTAACGACGACAGTTTCTTTGATAATGACAACTTTCTCTGTAGGTTTTTCTGCTACTTCTGTAACTACCTTTTCTTCAATTATCGGCCTAACATCGTGGTATTTGTCAATTTCATCTTTCACAAATGTATCTGTATCTTTTCGGAGCTTGGCAAGTTTTTCAGCTTCTGTTATGCCTACATCAACTTCTTCAGACCCCTTCTTTGCAAACCAGCCGAGAATACCTTTGCCTTCCCTTTTCTTTGGCTGAGGAGGTGTAGTCTCTGCAACGCTTTCTTTCTTCTTTGATTTTGTTGAAGCGACTTCCTCTTTAAGAATCACCGTATCCTTTATCACTAGAGGCTTTTCTATATCTTCCTCTGTGGTCTTTTGTAATACTGGTCTTACATCATGGTACTTATCAACTTCTTCTATTAAAAATCCCTTGGTATCAAGCTTAGCTTTGATCAGTTCATGATCTACCTCTTTTGGCTTCACATCCCTTTCTTCTGATCCTTTCTTCAAGAACATGCCTATGATGCCTTTACCCTCCTTCTTCTTCGACTTTGACGGTGATCCCTCTTTTACAGTTTCTTCCTTAACAACGATTTTTTCTTCCGAAGCAGCTTGTTGAACTATGGGTCTGACATCATGGAATTTATCAATCTCATCCTTCAAAAATGTATCAGTATCTGCTTTAATTTTAGCGACGTCAACTGTTTCTGCCTTGTCTTTTGGTACAGCCTCCTCTTTAACGACGACAGTTTCTTTGATAATGACAACTTTCTCTGTAGGTTTTTCTACTACTTCTGTAACTACCTTTTCTTCAATTATCGGCCTAACGTCGTGGTATTTATCAATTTCATCTTTCACAAATGTATCTGTATCTTTTCTGAGCTTAGCAAGTTTTTCGGTTTCTGTTACGTCCACATCAACCTCTTCAGATCCCTTCTTTCCAAACCATCCAAGAATTCCTTTGCCTTCCCTTTTCTTTGGCTGAGGAGGTGTAGTCTCTGCAACGCTTTCTTTCTTCTTTGATTTTGTTGGAGCGACTTCCTCCTTAAGAAGAATCGTCTCCTTTATCACTAGAGGCTTTCCTATATCTTCCTCTGTGGTCTTTTGTAATACTGGTCTTACATCATGGTACTTATCAACTTCTTCTATTAAAAATCCCTTGGTATCAAGCTTAGCTTTGATCAGTTCATGGTCTACCTCTTTTGGTTTCACATCCCTTTCTTCCGATCCCTTCTTCAAGAACATGCTGATAATGCCCTTACCCTCCTTCTGCTTCGACTTTGAAGGTGATCCCTCTTTTACAGTTTCTTCCTTAACAACGATTTGTTCTTCCAAAGCAGCTTGTTGAACTATGGGTCTTACATCATGGAATTTATCAATCTCATCCTTCAAAAATGTATCAGTATCTGCTTTAATTTTAGCGACGTCAACTGTTTCTGTTTTGCCTTTTGGTACAGCATCCCCTTTAGCGACAACAGTTTCTTTAATAATGACAACTTTCTCTGTAGGTTTGTCTACTACTTCTGCATCTACCTTTTCTTTAATTATCGGTCTAACATCATGGTGTTTGTCAATTTCATCTTTCACAAATGTATCTGTATCTTTTCTGAGCTTAGCAAGTTTTTCGGGTTCTGTTACGTCCACATCAACTTCTTCAGATCCCTTCTTCGCAAACCATCCAAGAATTCCTTTGCCTTCCCTTTTCTTTGGTTGAGGAGATTTACTCTCTGTATGCTCAACATCTTTGGCAGGAACTAACTCTTTAACAACAACAGTTTCTTTAATTACGACAGGCTTCTCTTCAGAAACTTTAGTTATATCCGCTTTGATCACAGGCCTAACATCGTAGAACTTATCAATTTCGTCTTTTAAGAACGTATCCGTTTCTTTTCTGACCTTCGCAAGTTGTTCTGATTCCTCCTTCGCTTTTATTTCCTTGTCCTCGGAGCCTTTCTTTTCGAAAAGGCCTAGCAGCCCTTTACCGTGCGACTTCTTGGATTTTGCAGCAGAAGATTCTTCTTTCGTTTTCTTTACGACGATGGTTTCTTTGATTACGATGGGCTTCTCTTTAGGTTCACTATCTGTCGCTTCTTTACCTATAGGCCTAACGTCGTGGTGCTTATCAATTTCATCTTTCAAGAAATTGTCCGTATCTTGCTTAGCTTTAACTAGTTCTTCCAACTGTTCGTCCTTCTTGCTCTTTGACCCACTATCTTCAGAATCTTTCTTCCCAAATAGTCCAAAAGGTCCCTTTCCTTCTCTCTTTTTAGGTTTTGGAGGCAATGTACTTTCTTCTTTCAACACTGCGGTCTCTTTGAGGACAGGTTTGTCTACGGATTCAACTACAACTTCTTTGATGATTGGCCTAACATCATGGTACCTCGCAATTTCATCGTTTATGAATGTGTCAGTTTGTTGTTTGATTTTGGCCAATTCTTCTACTTCTACTGCTGTATCCTTTTGTTCAGCGCCTTCTTGACCTTTTATTCCAAATAGTCCTAGAATACCTTTTCCGTCTTTTTTCTTCGGTTTTGGAGAAGCTGTATCTTCCTTGACTTCCTTCTTTGTAACCTCAGAAGAAATCTGTTCCACAATTGTTTCTTTCAAAATTACTGGTTTGGCTTCACCTTTCTTGATAACTTCTTCGGTAACCTTTTCAGTGACAATTGGTCTGACGTCATGATACCTATCAACTTCTTCATTCAAGAACGTATCAGTATCGCTCCTTGTTTTAATCTGCTGTTCAGTTTCTTTCTTATCTTCGTGGCCCTTCTTTTTAAACATACCTAAAAATCCACCTTTGTCCTTTTCTTTCTTTTCTGTAGGTATCTCACTTGCTTCTTGAACAGCAACACTTTGGGCAACAGGAGGTGATACGACTGGTCTTACGTCATGGTAGTTGGTAATTTCATCTTGCAAAAAGTTGTCTGTGTTATCCCGAATTTCGACATGCGCTGGGCGTTTCTCTTTTGAATCGTGATCCTTCTTTTTGAAGAAACTGAGAACTCCACCTTTTTCTTCCTTAGACACTTTCTCTTCCCAAAGGATCGGCTCTTCGCCGTCACCCTTCACAACCTTGTCGGTTTCTACTTTGATCTTCGTCGCGTTCTCAGTAACTTCCGACTCTAATTTGCTAACTTTGGTTTTTGTTTTTGTGCCTGACGACGTTTCTTCTCTGATCACGATTGTTTCCTTGAAAATGACAGGTTCTTCCTTTGCTTGGTAGGTTTTTTGCTCAGCTGCTGCTGACTCCTTGTAGATAGGTTTCACATCTTCATGCTTGTCCACCTCTTGCTGTAAGAATGATTCGGTTTCCAGTATGGCTTTGATCGCTTCTTCGGAATCGTCAGTAGGTTCATCCTTTAACTCTCGATCTGCCGATTTTCTGAAGATACCTGGGAGTAATGATTTTTCTGCTTTCTTTGCTTTCTTCGGAGACACTTTTTCTTCGGTTACCACCTCTTGGACGTGAGTTACGACTGGTCTAACATCATGGAAATGCTTCACCTCATCCTCTAAGAATTTATCTGTATCCTGTCTAATTCTGACATTTTCTACATGCTCAAGTGTAACATCTCTTTCTAATGATTGTCGCTTTAGCTCTTTCTCTTCAGATCCCTTCTTCTTGAAGAAGCTCAATATTCCAGTTTTTTCTTCATCTTTTTTAGCTTTTTTAGGTGAAAGTTTCTCTTCTGTAACCTCGTTCTGAGTAACAGTTTCTTCTGATATTTCTTTAATCGTAGGTCTAACGTCATGGAATTTCTCGACCTCGGTTTCTAAGAATGCATTAGTGTCTTGTCGAATCATCAAATTTTCTTCAGCTTCTGCTTTAGCTTTGAGCTCTCTATCTAACGATCTCCGTTTCACGTCTTTCTCTTCGGATCCTTTCTTCTTGAAGATTCGCAATATTCCACCCTTCTCTTCTTCTTTAGCGCTCTTCTTTGGTGAGTGTTTCTCTTCAGCTGTCTCAGACACTTCCTTTGCTTTAAGAGGTGTCTCTATAGGAGTTTCTTTGATGGTTGGTCTGACATCGTGATACTTTTCAACTTCAGCTTCCAAAAATTTGTTGGTGCCCTCTCTGATCTTCAGATTATCTTCATGCTCAACTTTCTGCTGGAGCTCTTTTTCCATCGATCGGCGTTTCAACTCTTTCTCTTCCGATCCTTTCTTTTTGAAGAATCCTAGAATTCCACCTTTCTCCTCTTCCTTAACTTTCTTAGGACTTTGTTTCGGTTCTTGAACTGATGTGGCCTCTTCTACTTGTTGAGCCTGTTCGATGACTACATCCTTGATTATTGGTCTGACATCATGATACTTTTGAATTTCATCCTCTAAGAACTTGTTGGTGTTCTCTTTGATCTTTACGTTATCTTCATGCTCAATCTTTTGTTGAAGCTCTCTTTCCATAGAACGCCGTTTCAGTTCTTTTTCTTCCGAACCTTTCTTCTTGAAAATCCCCAAAATTCCAGTTTTTTCTTCATCTCTCTTGGCCTTTTTGGGTGACTGCTTTTCACTTTGTGTATCAGTCACAATTGTCTCTGAAACTTTTTCATCAATTGCTGTAGGTTTCTCCTTGATTATAGGTCGAACGTCGTGGTAATTTGCAATTTCATCTCCCAAAAATGTGTCGGTGTCTTCTCTGAGTCTTACGTTTTCCTTATGTTCAGCATCTCTTTCCAAGGATCTTCTCTTCAACTCCTTTTCTTCAGATCCCTTCTTGTGGAATATTCTAAATATTCCCGGCTTTTCTTCTTCCTTCATAGCTTTTTTGGGAGACATTTTTTCTTGGATTACAGTTGTCTCTTTCAGAACGGGTTCGGTAATTTCTGTGACCTTTTCCTTGATAATTGGTCTTACATCATGGTACCTATCAACCTCGCCCTTCAGGAAATCGAAAGTGTCTATTTTAACCTTGACAAATTCCGGATCCTGTTGCAGTTCCTTAGGTTCATCCTTACTCTTCTTGAATAATCCCAAGAACCCACCTTTCTCACTATCCTTCTTGGATTTCTTAGGCGACTTTTCCAATGTTTCTTCTTTTACACTTTCTTGGACCAATGACACACCTTTGGATATCTCTTCGTCCACAGAAACCTCAGTAACAGTTGGTCTAATGTCGTGATATTTGTCTATTTCATCCTTCAAGAAAGTATCCGTACTGGCTTTAACTTTAGCCACATCTTCAACTTTTTCTTCATCTAAAGGAATTTCTTCTTTGATAACAATTGTTTCCTTATAAACTTCTTTTTCTAATTGTACCTCACTTAGATGTGGTTTTACATCATGATACTTGTCGACTTCTTGTTGCAAAAAGGAGTTTGTGTCGTCCAACACTTTTTGGAGTTCCTTGTCTTGTTCTTTATCTGAGTCTGAGTCTTTTTTGGAGAACAAACCAAGTATTCCTTTTTTAACTTCTTTCTTTGCTTTCTTGGGAGACCCCTTTTCCGCTTCATGTTCCTTAGAAGGAGATTTCTGGGCTACAGAAACCGCAACCTCAGGTTTGACATCATGGTATTTGTCGATCTCATCCTTCAGGAATTTATCTGTGTCTTCCTTTGCCTCTGGAATCTGATACTGCTCAATGTGCTTAGGTTCGCTAGTTGTCTCTGTTACAGTGCTTTCTTGGGTCATAACTATTGTTTCTTTTATAACTACTGGTTTTTCGAAGGTTACAACCTTTTCTCTTCCTTTGCCATCTCTTGTGATAGATTGTTTTATGTCTTTGGTAATTGTTTTCTCTTTTATAATACCCGGTTTGTCGGGTTGCTTGATGACTGGTCTCACATCATGATAGTTATTAACTTCGCTATCGAGGAAGTTATTAGTCTCCGTTTGCGTTTTAACAAGCTCCTCACTTTTTGTGACTGGTTGAGATTCAGAATCTGTATGAGCAGTTTTCTTGAACAATCCAAAAAAGCCACCCTTTTCATCTTTCTTGCCAGTTTCGGGCGCTTTTTCTTCCTTCATGACAATAACTTCTTTCACTACAGTCGGCTTGTCTTTATCGACTGTCGATTCCCGGACTGTTGGCCGCACATCGTGGTAATTGTGCACCTCGCCTTTTAAGAAGCTATCAGTTTCGGTTTGTGTCTTCAGAAGCTCTTGACGTCTTGCAATATCCTGGCTATCTGGCTCTTCCGAGCCTTTCTTTTTGAACAGTCCCAAAAAGCCTCCTTTATCATCTTTCTTAGTATGTCTTGGAGATGTCTTGCTTTCTACTGTTTCTGTGACCTCCACAGTAGTTACTTCTCGGATCACAGGCTTATCAGTAGTAACTGTCACACTCTGGCCTGCAGTAACAGGGATTGTGGTTTCACTTTTAGTTGACAAAGCATCGGTGAAGCTTTCAGATACCACTATCTGAGCTTTGGGTTCTGCCACGATTGGTCTGACGTCATGGTATTTATCGACTTCTTCTTTCAAGAACGCGGTAGACTCTATCATATCTTTGATTGCTGCATCAGAAAATGCTGGTATATCTTGCTTCTTTTTGAAGATGCCAAGGAAGGTCTTATCATCCTTGTCTTTCAGTTTTGATTTCGCCTTTGGTGATTTCTGTTCCTCGGGCTTAGGTACTGTTGTATCTTCTTTTGAGGTTTCTTTGTCGTGCTTTTCAATGACTTCAGCTCTACTGCTGTCATCGTCAGATTCTTCAACGTCTTTAGACTTTCCGAAAAGACCAAACAGTTTACCATGTTTTCTTTTCATCTTTTGGCTGTCGCTAGCTTTCTCTTCAGTTGGTGATTTGTACTCCCCGTCTTGCCTGTCTGTAGTTTCACTTTCAATCAGATCTGCTGTGGTTTTCTTCACATCCTTGGGCTCAGCTATATCTTCGTACACGTGCGTTTTGTGACGTGGGGGTCTAACTGGAGGTGAAGTAATTTCTTCATATCCTGCAGGTGTCTCTTTCGTTTTTTGTGATGGATCAACGATTATAGTGAATTCTTTTTCTTCTATGCGAATTGGTTCGATGGTTTTGGTAAAGGTTTCTTGTACGATAACGGTCTCTTTCTTTTTGGAAGGTGGCCTTGCAGTCGCTGCTGCTCGGGTGTTAACGTAGGTTGTTGTGTCATCTAGATCTGTTATAGGAATGGTGATTGAAGTAACATATGTTTCTCGTTCATCATTGGCAGCACTAGGGGTGGTTTCAACATAAGGTATGTTCTCGTATCTTCTTTCTAGCGAAGACGTTGGTGATTTGGGTTTTCTAGGTGGCCTGACTGGTGCTTCAGGTGGGGCGTCTGTCCCAGTCGGCTTCTTCCTTTGCTTCTTATCTTTCCTCTCCTTCCTCGGTGACTTTTCTGAATCAGAATCAGAGTCGAATGACTTACCAACAATGTGTTTGATGGTTCCAAGTATCCCTTTCTTCTTTCTCTTATCATCCTTGGACGCATCGGGACTCGTTACAACTTGGACTTGTCCAACAACGTAATGCTGTTCGGTGTGAGGATGATACGGCTCGCCGCGTGACTCGGATTCGATTAGAGCATTTGTTTGATCGTGAATCGCTTTTGGTTTAATGGTAGATAAACCGTTAAGCGGCGCACTTAAGGGTTTGTCTACTTTCGGTACTTGTTGTGTAGTAGTCGTGGTTGTTCCTGTAAATACATGCACTTTCCAACAGGCTATTCTATCTACCAGACCTTAACCTTACATATCACTTTCGTTTGGGAAATATTCTTACTTCAGTAACTAGCTTACCTTTGGCTAATGCGTCTTATTATTTATCAAAGTAAATATAGCTCTAAAATATTTACCTGGCTACAATTGCAAAGTTAACCGCTTCTTCAATACAATACCAAGACGCTAGCTTCTTTTACGAATATTCTTTATAGTAACAGACCAATAAAAATGGGTGCTCGAAAATACATCGGGAGATGGAAAACTTCATAAACAATGACTTGCAAGTTCAGATAACATATCGTGGGGTAATTTGGAGGAATTGCATGTTCCTACTCTAGATTTTGTTTGGGCACCCTTGATGGCGGTGCAAGAGTGAGGACACGTCCAATATGCCATCGAACGGCATCTGTGGGTGTTATGGTATGGATATGCCATTGCTTACCTCAGCAGGTCACAAGTAGCGTTCATTCGGGGTAGCAGGACTCCCTAGTGCTATATCCACCAAGTTTCACAACCACAACTTTTTGGAAACATTGCAAGATACACTTTTTCAGCGGGGCAATGCACGGCCTCAAGTCGCAAGTGTTCGTTGAGACTTTTGGCCTCCTCGATCTTCAGACCAATCCTCCATCGAACATGTATGGGACATGATGGGAAGAAAGTTGCAAAATTCACCGCACACTCCACAAACATGAGAGGCTCTACGAAACCGAATGTGTAGCGAACAGAGGAGCTACATTAAGGTGGGATATCTAAGCTATTTTGAGAAATTTCGAGTTAAAATTTCAATCACTTTCTACTTGAAACTTGTAAAAGTCTTAGTCGGTGTTGCATTTTCTATATCATTTAGCATGATGAGCTACTATATCTCGATTAGGGATTGATTTGGAAAGAGCTAGTTTTTGAATAAGAAGCATTAACAAGTATGTTAAAGGAAGAGTTAGCTCTGCAACTGTTTGTATTTTGAAGTAGTGACCCAAAAACTATTATTCCACCATCACACTACATTCCATCTGGACTGACCTTAGGATTTGAAGGGACAAACCAACGGACTTCCCAAAGTAAACTGTGTTTCTTGGAAGTTGGGGTATTCGTTTCTGTACAGTACTGTGTCTAGTTAAAATAATTAATGATTTTCGTTTCTAAAATTTTTGGTTAATGGAAAACAGCTAAGTCAAAACCGTAAAACCCATGCGTATCAGTTTGAACACATCGTTCAACTTTACCTCCAGCGGGTTCAGCTATGGACATCCAGTCGCAGTACCCTTTTGGAATTTGGGAGCTATTTGTGAAGGGGTTTGAGGTGAACTCAACTTTGGGTGTGTTGTTCGTATCGTCTGCATAGCAGGGATAGAAAGGGACGTTCGTGTAGAGGTTAGATTGAGAAGACGGATCGTACTCTAAAGGAAACCGTTTATTTGTTGTCGCTAGAAGTTCTGTCTTGGTTTTTATTAGCTGCTTCGATCCTTCCAGATCGGAATCGCTCTTCATGAATAACCTAGGTAGAGTAAATACTGGAGCTTGAGTAAACTTTTCAGGTAATCCACCTTTAGTTAAGTCTGTGTTGCCCAGTGTGGAATACGAATTTGACTTTTTCCTTTCCAACAAATTACTAAATTTGCTTGAAATGTTACTGAGCCTACTGCTCAGCTTACTCGGCAACGTCTGAGCTTTTTTCGTTTTGTCTTTCAGAGGAAAACTTTCAGTTTTACTTTTATTCGTCGGCATATCCATAAACTCTCTTACCGATCTTATTTCAATGGCCTCTTTGCCTCTTTCTGAAGTCTTAACCATCAGTTTAACTTCAGCTTTAACTACTTTCTCCGTAGTAGTATCATAAGTTCCTTCAGAACTGCTTGATTCATCCGAAGAGCTTTCTTCACTAGCATCATCTGCTTCTGACTCATTGCCAGTTATAGACGGCAAAAACGCTGAAGTTTCCTGAGCTCCAGAGCTGCAGGGTGGAGATTCCAATAAGGGAGCATAGTTAGTATTAACATAGACCTTACTCGAAATGCTTCCAAGCAAACTCAAACTCTCTTCGTCTTCCTCTGGAATCTCACTCAAGTTTCTATAAGTTCCTTCCCACCAAATGTCATCGCCAGTTCTGTTATCGAACAAAAGCATACCTTTAGTGACAGGCGTGTTTTCAATATACTCATAATCGTCATCCATGGTGACGTCTGGTTCTAGAGATTCCAGCAAGCCAGATTGACTAGAAGCGTCATCTAGGGATTCTGTAGAAGCTTTGGTAGCACTTTCGAAGTCGATCTTATAGTTCAAGAATTTTGGTTCTTGTCCGATTTGCTCTAAGGCATTGCTTGGTTCATTGAACGAGATGAGATCATAATAACTGTCATCTAGTGATGATACGTCTTGATTAAACTGAATAGGCTCATAAGCAGCCTCTTGTTCAGTTTTTGATACTGCCTCATAAGGATCGTCCTCTTCCTGAGGCATTATCAGAATCTCTTGCTTAGTTTCGTATCTTTTCCGTATCTTCATCGTTCTTTTTATCGGCACTTCAATAACAGCATCTGCACTAGGATATAGTTCCAAGGTGTTGACACAAGGATCGTCGACAACGTCCAGATCGAGACCAAACAATTTCTCTTGTTTCTCAACCTCTGATAGCATGTTCTCCAACATTGCGTCTATTTGAGCATAAGATGTAGTCGTATGGATGTAAGGATTTTCTGTAATTGGAGACGCTTCAGCACTGCTGGGAGAAAGCGGGATATCCTTTGGTAATGAAGGAGTGCTAGTGCCTAGAAGTACGCTTTCATAAGACACGTATTTGGCAGGAGGCGAAGAGGAACGTGGTTTGTGTGCATCAGTGATATATAACGAGGAATTGCTAGTCTCCGTGCGAGTAGCAGTAAGTGGGACACTTGCTGGTAATGTAGATGAGCAAGAGGTAGGATACCGTTTTGATATCGCTGACTTCGAGACATTGGGTTCAAAAGGAGCATCACCAAGGTATAGTGAAGATGTTGTAGGTACTATTG